CAACAGCAAACCAGATGGTTGGAACTAAGTGTGAGGTACCCGCACAAAGGACCAAGCCTGGGAGAAGTCTGAATACCCCATGAGCTTCTAGTGCTTCGGCCTTTGGCCTACCAGGGAGTTCATTTTACCCTCTTATAGTTATGATGTGCATTGGGGACAATGCACAATTTTAAGTGTGGGGTGAGAAAATTTTCTGGGTGACTTTCTATGCTACTTTAGATGTGTTAGTTTAATTGAACAATATTTTTTTTTTAAAAGATTGGACTTTTCCCGACGATGGATCTATTAGACAATTTTCTTGAGGGATTTAAGTCAAAAGAAAAATGACAAAAATATTTTCTTTTGTTAGGTAGTGTAGCAATTCCCCCTTGGTTTTTCTTTGTGGCGCGGTTCTTTTCCAAGGATTTTATTTGAACCGGGTGTAGTTAGTTTTATTTTTTTAGGAGAAGGAGCTAGTGTGAGATGAATTGAATTGAAGCAATATCTGTTTACTTTTTTATGCCTTGAGAATAATGAGTACTTTCGTTGTGACGCTTAGGCTCAGTTTTTGACTCTAGTATAAGTACCTTAAATTATATGAGCTTAACTTTGCTTAACTGCTTTGACTAGAGTGTCTTGATGATCCAATCCTGGGGGAGTCATCTGCCATGTGCGTGTGAGGTTTGTTGTATTTTGTGCATTGCATTTGATGTCCAGAACTTGCCCCGTGTGTTTGCAAAGCGAAATAGTAGTTTTGTTCAGTCTTGGAAGTGATATAGGCGTTTCTTTGTTGAGCCAGATATGTATATTTTACCTACCTAATTGTTATGTATCGTAGTTAACCCCTTTGAGCCTGTAATCCTGTTTCTTTGGCAACCACATTACAAGCCTTACCCATTTATTTGAATTAACTATCTATTCGAACCTTTTAACCTCTCATGAGCACTTGAATTGTTATGAACTGGGTAAAATTTAAAGTGTGGGGTGGTTGATTTAGCTGTTGAGTGGAACTAATAAAATAAGGAGAAAGGTGCACTGTTTTGAAAAAAAAAAGTAAGAGCCACTTGAATTGGAAAAAAAAAAAAGAAAAGAAAAAAAATAGTTGTATTGCTGTGAAAAAAAAATATTCCTTGATAAGTGGTGACTCTTGATGTAATTGTGCTTAAAGAAGTATGGGGTAATATACACTGATGTGAAGGTGGAGTTTGGTTTGACATAAGTATGGGGTTTGAATGTTAAAGTATATGTATTAAAGTGCTTAGGGAGGTGTAGTCACTCATTTAAATGTATCCTACCCGTTCCGCAGCCTACATTACAACCAAATAAAGTCCTACTTGATCCTAGACTAAATGAGCTCGATTAGTAGAGTAGTACACTACGGGCAAGCCTATGGTGCGTCTTTTGTGGCATATGAATGTTATTTCTGAGAGTGAGTGAACTCTTTCTATCTTGAGTTCCTAAGTGTTCTTAAATTTTATTGTGTGGAACTACTCTCTTTTGTTGTGTGAGGGCACTTGATTCATGAAGGAGAGATAATGTCAGTGACCTCTATGTTAGAGTAAGTGAGTAAGTTGTGAATAATGCGTGGTACTTGTGAGTCAAATCTTGAGGTGAAGATGTTACGCATTTGTGCTTCGTCTATTTTAAATATTCTTGGTGTGATGAGTTAGAAGAATTGTTTAAAAAGGTCGTGTCTATATAAAGTGTAGTTTGATGCTCGGGGAGGAGCAATGGTTTAAGTATGGGGTATTGATGATAGGCTATAATTACGTATTTTAGTCGATTATTACATTCCAATATACTGCATTTTAATTGATTTTGAGCTTTAATCGCGAGTGTTTTGCACTAGTGGTGTATTTTATGCCTTATAGAAGTGATTCCGAGCTATATAGATGTTATGGAATGAATTATAGTTATTTGGAGCTTTGAAGTCTTAGTAAAAGCTCAAGAAATTAAGCCGGAATCGTGTTCGGGGGTCAAATTTGATAGTTAAGAACAAACAAAGACTCGAGTAGGCATATTGCGCACTGTCTAGTAAAATACACATAACTTTTTGCTCAGAATTCCATTTGGGCTCCACAATATATGGTTAGAAAGCTAACTAAAAGGGATACAACTTTTATGTTTTACGTCAATCCAAATTCCAAACGGAACAGGGTAGAAAACGCAGTCGAAACCGCGACCATGGACCTGGACGCGAACTGAGGCAGTGCACTGGGAAAATACCGCGCCCAGACCGCGAACGCGAGCGTCCAGAGCTGAAAAATTGTCCTTTTCCGCGTAGGAGAAGGTATAATTGTTTGGTCCCAACCGTACTTGGTATATATACATGAAAAAATGGTATTTGATGAGGTTGGACATACTTTTGACATAATTTAGACTTAAGGAGGCTACGAAGACCGGAGATTCGACCTAAGGAGGCAAGAACACACTGGGTGCAAAGCGGAGAATTCTTCCACAAGTTTTTCACTTCCTTCTTCCTATTTCCTTTATTGGTTATGAATTTTATCACGCCCAACTATGCCTTATAAAAAGGACTAAGCGGTTGTTGCAAATATAATCCGGTTTACAAGTCCGGAGTCGAATCCCACAGAGAACTAAGGCTTAGCTATAGTTGTTCAATATCGCTAAGAAACACAAGTCCAAACAATTTTCTAATTGTAAAGATTATAATATTTATTTTTATCTAATTAACTAACAAATCTAAAAAGCCATAAAACTATCAATTAACAAGGATAAGGATTGGAGTCAAGATTAAGGAGGTCTAGAGTTATGATTTCCCCAATTGTCGGAATCCTTCCCGCTACATTTTCTATAAATTCGCCTAAGTATTCTCTACCGATCATGAGCGCTCTGACTGTCGTAACTCTCTCCCGAGTAATTACCACAATTTACTAGACGCACTCTCCCGAGTTACGCTAGCTGGCTTTTGTTACAGTTCACTTAGATCGCACCCAAGGTTTCGTTATCCCTAATCCCACCTTTAAACCCTCGGTTATTGATTCCTCATATACTTTGGGAGTGGTGTTGTTCAACAACTACCTAAATATGCACTCTCTCCCGAGTAATACATACTAAATAGGCACAGCTAATTGAGGGTCCTTTAATCAACCACAAGAATAATATAGTTGAACAAATAGAGAAAACACTACGGCTCAATTATATAAAAACATAACAAGAATTTATCCTACAAAAGGTTCCATAAAAACCATAGATAATAAATTAGCTATTCATAATAGTATGTAAAACTACAATACTAAAAGTCATAACCAAAAATGAAAAAGTAGGAAGAGGAAGGAAAAACTCGTAGAAGAATTCCCCGCCTTGCTCCTATTGTGTCTCTGCCTCCTTAGGTCGAATTTGTATCAAAAATATGTCCAACCTGTTCAAAATACCATTTTTCCATGTATATATGCCAAGTAGGGTTGGGCCCAAGCAATTATACCTTCTCCTAGAAGAAAAAAACACTTTTCCCGGGTTTTACTAGCGCGGCCGCGCTCGTGACCGCGCTAGTGGCCGCGCATATTGCCCAGTGTTCTGCCTGACGAGCGCGACCACGCTATTGACGCGCACTTTTCACACTGTTCCGCTTAGAATTTGGAAAAACATAAAACATGAAAGTTGTAGCCCTTTGAGTTAGCTTTTCAACCATATATTGTAGAGCCCAAATGGAGTTCTGAGAAAAAAGTTATATCCATTTTACTAGACAGTGCGCAATATGCCTACTCTATTCTTCGTTCGCTCTAATTATCATCCGTTGACCCCCAAACACGATCCCGGCTTAATTCCTTTACTCAGACTTCAAATCTCTAAATCATTTGAATTTATTCCGTAACATCTACATAGCTCGGAATCACTCCTACAAGGCATAAAACACACCATTAGTGCAGAACACTAGCGATTAAAGCTCAAACTCAATTAAAGTGCAGTAAATTAGAGTATAATAAACGACTAAAATACGCAATTATAGCCTATCATCAGAATTCTAGTGTTGTATTTTTGCATACTATTATGAATAGATAATTTATTATCTAGAGTTTTGATAGAACATTTTGTAGGATGAATTCTTGTTATATTTTTATATAATTAAGCCGTTGGATTTCTCTACTTGTTCAACTACGTGTTTGTTGTTGTTGATTGAATGACCATCAATTGACCGTGCCTATTTAGTGTGTACTGCTCAAAAGAGAGTACGCATTTAGGTAGTTGTTGAACAACGTCACTCCTAACGTATGTGAGAAATCAATACATTGGGTTTAAAGGTAGGTTTAGAAATAACAAAGCCTTGACGTGGTCATAGTGAGGGGTTAGATGAAGCCAACTAGCGTAGTTCGAGAGACTATGTCTAGTAAATTGTTGTAGTTGCTCGAGAGAGAATTACGGCACCTAAATTGTTCACGATCAGTAGAGAATACATCGGCGAAATTGTACGGAACATAGCTGTAAGGATTCCGACAATTGGGGAAATCGTAACTCTAGACCTCCTTAATTTAGTCTCCAACCCTTTGTCTCGTTAGTTGATAATTTTACCGTTCTGTAGTATTTGCTAGTTAATTAGTTAGAAATATAAATCTCAATCTTTATTATTTAGAAAATTGTTCAAACTTGTCTTCTTGGTATATTAAACAGATATAGCTAAGCCTTAATTCTCTGTGGCATTCGACTCCGGACTTATAGACCGGATTATATTTGCAGCGACCGCTTATCCTTTTTAGGAGTAGAGTTGGGCGTGATCATCAACCATCATATAAGGATTTCACAAACTCGATCAGAGATACTCTAGGTTGTGTTAGAGTCAAGATATACTCCAAGTCGATTGCAGCATAAAAACTTGTCAGAGAGAAATGAAAATGTCATTCTTTATTCATAGTGATCACCATGATATGCTTTAACATAACTTGTTAGATTAGAATTAAACGGACCAATTGAGAATTCAGAGCTAATATCATGGATCATGTATAAATCTTATTATAGTTTCTCAAAATAGCATGATATATGATGAAACTGAACTAATATACAATTCACAGAATTGGACCTGCGCCTTCACCAGGGCCCCCGTAAAGGATCAAATGACCGAATACATCTCCTTGGTGAGACAAATCTTGAACCTGATACAAGTCTGGGCTGTTGGCAATTGTGTTTCTTAAAGAAGCATCTAAAGATTCAGTAGAGGAATTATAAATGAAAGTGCACTTTCTAAAATATGCATCCTGTAGGTAATTTTGGGCCGGAAAAAGTCCACTACCCATCTGAGGTTCAGGTTGTCCTGGAGGGCTATATGCTACTCCTCCCCATTCAGCAGTTCTTGCTTGGTTTTTTAAACCTGTAAAGATGCTTGCCGGCCAAAATCCAATTTCCGTGTAGTTAATTCCGTGCAAAAGCCACCAATTACCATTGACATGATCCTATATATGGACAAGTAATGAGATGGTAAGCAATGAACATACTGATCCTATCTAAGTGTAACTCTTTAATTATATGTTGAAGGTGCACACGCTTCTAACGTGTTCAAGGTGAGTGTTTTGGGCTATTTGATATATTGAACTATAGGGTATTATATGTGTGGTGAAAGTATTGGAATGAGTTAACGAGTCAGACTTGATTGGGCTGATGTTTGTAAGCAAGTTGTGAAAGGCTTCCCATAACCTTATTGCCTCAACTGCATGCACATCAGTTGATTATTAGGTGGGGAACCGAGCCAACATGAACTGAAAGGCCATTGAAATCCAAATTTCAGAGAGTTTTTATTGAAGGATGTGCACCAGGGGCGCCTGATGTACAACCAGCATTCAGTTCATATTGATCCGGTCCCTCGCCTAATCAACTACGTGCGCGCGCATGCAGTTAAAGCAATGCCTGAGCTGCGTGCTACAAGGTCCCTTGAGATCTCTTACGACTTTTTCTAACATCAACCAACCAATTAGTCCAATACTCGACTACCTTATTCGAACATTTCCAGCACATGCATAAACACAAAAGCATATAGTTCAACACATCAAACAGCCTAAAATACTCACCTTGAACAAATGTTCACCTCTCAGCAAGGAAATAACAAGGAGTTACACATACTATCACATTCTTTTATTGAACTCTATGATGCTAAATTAATGTATAATACATGTAGAAAATGAAATATGTTTGTTTACCCGATCAAGGTACATTAACTCCTCATAAACAGGTCCCCCGATTTTGGATGCCGGATATTGAATTCCCAACGGTACCTTTGTGTCTACTTGTACAAATCCAGGACATAATGTATTAAAACAACCTGATTTACCTGCCTGTGGTACATAACAGGAATGCAGAAAGCACTTAGTATATATAGTCTCTTTTAAGCATAACTTCAGCAGTATATGATGATCATTACCTTAAAAAACACATAAAGTCGATTATTGTTGTCACCATATAGTGTAGGATCCACCTTAATTAAGTTCAGAATATATAACTGTTAGAAAATCAACTTAAAAAAGAGATTGACTTGCTGTTAAACAAAGAAAGTAGGTAATTCTGCAGAGAACTTACTATCCACCCAGCTTGTATGCTATCAGGACCATTTTGAACCTTCACCCGACCCGCACTGTGTTGGTTTTTTTGAACTAAAGGTTTGTGTAGGGACATTATCGTTCCAGCTCCTGTAATATCATTTGTTTCATCATCTGGTAATTGTACTCCAGCATACTGTTTCAGATATAGTTTCTAATATCAAACATATATCGTCGAATATTTACTAAATGAAGATGACGAAAACAACAACAACGATGATGATATTATGGTAACAACATCTACAAGTATTGAATCATTGTTAATAATGGTCGGAATAATCTTATACAGAGAATGTATGCTTTCCATATTAATGTATGTGACTAAGTTAATTACTAAACAAATTCTTTAAGAAAATCCTAAATTCTTAAAAGCCATATTAAAAGGCTGATATAAAGATCCAATTAAAATCTTCCTTGTGCTTAGTAACTCAAAGTAATATTTGGTCATACATACAATGGCGGATGGAAATTGAACCAATGGCCTCACAAATGTTTTGAACCCTCTTGACTACTAAACTATGCTTTTGGATTGTGTCAAGGGGATTCAAAACATAATATACAGAGATAAAAAATAGATTTTGCCTTATATATCAGTGTAATTTTTCGACAAAAAGGGTTCGGATGAACCCCTTCCGCCCCCTAAAAACCCCCTGCATGCATATACTTAGAGAAGAAAAGAAAAGATAAGAAAGGTCATGTATACTCACTCTGTACCCTCCTTTAAAAGCTACGGCTTCAGAGTCATTTAGGTTGTTACCCTGTAAAATTACATTATGAATGAAAGGGTATAAAAAGATTGATAAATATCAAAGGAAAAAATGCATAACATTATATTGTCACCTTCACCAAAAGTACTACCATATTCTCAAGGAAATGGTATATAACAACACAGTCCCAAACAAGTTCGAGGTCTGTTATAGGAACTTACTAATCATTTTTCTCCATTAAAATTCATCTCATACCAACACTATGCAAAATAAACATAAAAATAAAAAAGTGCTAGAAATTCTCTATATTTTCTACTAACATATATATAAAGTAAAAGGCTCATGGAACACATAGGACCTCAAGCAAACGAACTAACTAACATGACTGAAATATATTCCCAACTAATTGGTATCGCCTAAGAAAATAAAATTAAAAAAACTATTGAAAATTTGAAGGAGTAAAGACCAGAGTTTCATTGATTAATAATACTTACATGAAATGCAGGAGTTTCATCCATGCCTTGCATATGTCTTTGCCGAATCAGGTAATCTTTGGTAACTCTTCTTATAGGGACCGTTCCAAATGGACAACCGCCACCTTCTAACCCTATTGTTTTTGAAGACATTACATGTCTTTCTAGTTTATGTAAAGAAGGTTTCATCTACAACCAAATGTAACATTTTGCTTTTAGGTTTGCATTATTACTTGAGAAAGTTGAATGTTATATAATGAAATAAAATTTACCTGGGGACTAAAATCATGATTCTTTAATAAGGGATGATCAAATGCTGGTTGTTTGTAAAAATCTACGCAATCATATACGTCCCCATTATTGGTCTGCAACGATGTGTAACATCGTCAATTAGAAGTTACTAATTAAGATGGTCATCTGATATGTAAATATTAGAATTTTACCTTAATAGTCTTGATTGCTGGCTTGTTTAGAAGTTTTAGTTGCTTCTCTAACTTTAAACATTCTTTTTCAGATAAGCTATGTCCTGCGTCAGCTTTGTCATACCTCAACAGGAGAAAAATCGAAAGCAAAAATTGAATTCTAGCTTTCACATGCAGTAACATTTTCGGCGGCCTTCAAGAGGAAAGTCCTAAATTATTAGACGGAAAATTTTGATATTAATTCTCTGCTTCTATTTTTTGGAAGTTAATACAATCGTAAATGAACCAATGCGTTTCTCTATGTCACAAATGAAGGTAAAAATAGGAAAATGAAAAAGATACAGCAAAAAATATTTTTTTATGCCCCTGAAAGTAAAACATATACCCTAAGAATTATTGTAAGTAGTACACATATTTACTAGGCTAAACTCCCCAATTTTCACACAGAAGATAAAAAATAAATCGGTAGTTGCAGGCCAAACTCCCCAACAGAGAAGATAAAAATTAAATCCGTAGTTTGTAGTGTACAGTAGTTCTGTACTTGATTCACTGCTAAAAAAAGGCTTTTAACGTGACACGCAGTCAAAAATAATTATAGCCGCTAACTAAACATACAAAATTATATATTAATTATATATAAAATATGTATTGTATACATTAATATATAAAAAATTCTACATTTATACCGACTATTATTGGGAGAGGCGGCTATAATGTGTAAAAATCCCGCCTAAACATAGAACCCTATTTCTCCTATAGAATAATCTTTTCAAAACACAAGTGAAAAGATATATAACCAAAATATGTTCGGCATTGGCAAAAATTTTAAAAGAAAAAAAAACCAAGAAGCTTGTGAAGAATTACCTGATCTGTGTGATATTTGCTGCAAATATCAGTTTATACATGTATATATGAAGACTCATGATAGGATATAAATATATAGTACTCCACCACTTATGATAGGATAGGTTCGAATTAATTGGTTAAATCAGATTTTGAATTTTGATAATCTTGTGATGGCATTTAAACGGGTAAGCCAATCTAGTAATATTGACTATGAGAATCATGTTTGACTTTAAGGGTGTGTTTGGTACAAAGGAAAATACTTTTCTAGAAAATGTTTTTATGGAAAATAAGTGGTTTTATCACTTATTTTCCTTTATTTGGTTGGTGAGTGAAAAACTTTTTTCGGAAAATATTTTCTAGTGTTGGTTAGAGAGTAGAATATTTTTTTTATGGTACTCTCTTCACCCCCTTCCCCCAAGTCCACATATTTTGTTGCTCCTCCCCCCCTCCCCCCCCCCCCCCTCCCCCAGACACGCAACGTTTTCAGAACTCTATTTTCTTCAAGAATTTAATTATTCTTCAAAAAATTCACACAAACCCAAAGGAACTAATGTTATGCTTTACTTTTTTACGCAAAAACAACATTGAAATTTGTGCTTCATAGCTAAAAAAAAACACACTCTTTTGTTGGTTGAAAAAAAGTACTCTTTCTACAACGTGAAAATAAAGTACTCATTTTATTGAAATAAAAGAATATACTTTATTTACATCAAGAAAAGAAAATAATTTTGAAATACATTATTTAGGGTGGGGAGTGAGGGTGGGTGGGCGGAAGGGTTGGGTGGGGTGGGGTAGGGTGGGCGGGGGTGGGATTGGTAGGTGGGGTGTGGGGGTGGGGGATGGTAGGGATGGAAAATAGGGTGGGGAAGGTTAAAAAATAGTTTTGGGAAATGTTTTCCCTTCTCTTGATAGGGAAAACAATTTCCTCCAATTGGAGCAAAATGAGTTCATGAGGAAAATATTTTCCAAAACATTTGAGCTAACCAAACATAAAAAAATTAAAAAATACTTCCAGAAAATATTTTCTTTCATGCCAAACACACCCTAAGTCAACCTTCATTTTATGCTAACAATAATAGCATTTTCTAACATTTTCTCGGTACATTTCTTTCCTTTGCTACTTCGTTTTCTGTTAATATTGACCGACTCTTAGATTTATGACAATGAATACAATTTGCTGATATTGTAGATGGAACACTTTATCTTAAACCCACACTTACCTATTCCTACAGGTTAAGGGTGGCAAATGGATCGGTCCGAGATCGGGATCGCGAGCCAAACGGACTATGTGGGCTAAGTGGGGCGGGACCGGTAGGAATTGGGCCTGGGCCGGTCTCGTGGTCCGGTCCTTGGTTTTGAACCGTTAGGACCGGCACTGTTTGGCCCGCCAAGGGATCGGTCCCTTGGCGGGCCAAACGAGCCCAACGGTAAATTTTTTTTTTTTTAAAAAAAAAGGAATTTTTACATTCCTATCCCACATAGGAAACCTTTTTACCCTACATGTTTAAGGTATAAGTAAATTACATTTAGTATACTAAATTACCATTTCTATACCATAATTCAAATTAGTGATATAATTAAGGGGGATTTATATTAGGCATAATTATAGGACCGTATATTCCCACTTTCTCTTTCCTTTCATTTATATTAGGCATAATTATAGGACTGTATACTATTACTTAGAATTCAGATCTTAGCTTAGGACTTTCTTTTCTCCATGAAAACGGCATCAGCAGTTGCACAAGCAACCATTCCTTTCACGTAGGAATTTTTTAGATTTCGTTTCTATAGTTTATTAACAACATTTTCTAGGCAAAAAATTTCCTATATTAGTACATTTTCATAATTCTATTTTTATAGAAGTGGATTTTAAAAATCACTTATTTTTTGTGGATTTGTTTACACTTTCTTAATCGATGTTCGTCCATTGTTGTATTTTAGTATGGGTAGGAAGCATGTTGCACGTATATCGTGGCGTCGTATAGATAATCCTTCTTCAAGCCAAGCAGGTATTAAATCGATTGCATAAATTATATCTGGACCAAGTTTTTTTAATTCTCCGTAGATGGGTAGCCAAAATCTAGCTGGTAATCACATGAAAAAAAAGTGTTGTAGATAAATTGTAGATTGTTTTTTGCAGAAGATTTTGTAGAAGTTTTAGTCGTTTTGGATTTGTGAAAACAGAAAATAATGCATCTACAATCAGAATACAAATAATCTACAATTTATCTACAGAATATCTACAAACTGGATACATTAAATTTTAATATCCCAATTCCCATTTCAATTGTAGCATAATTGACATTTTCGACATAATTGCGTTTTTTGCAGAAGATTTGTAGAAGTTTAGTCGTTTTTGATGTGTGAAAACAGAAGACAAAGCACCTACAATTAGAATACAAATAATCTACAATTTATCTACAAACTGGGTACATTAAATTTTTATATCCCATTCCCATCCAATTATAGCATAATTGTGATTTTTGACATAATTGCGTTTTTTCAGAAGATTTGTAGAAGTTTTAGCTGTTTTTTATTTTTGAAAATAGAAAATAAAGCATCTACAATCTGAAGATAAATAATCTACAATTTATCTACAATTTATCTACAATTTCTGAAAATATGTCGTCTTCTTCTTCTTCTTCTTCTTCTTCTTCTTCTTCTTCTTCTTCTTCTTCTTCGAGTTTCAATCTGAAATTCAGTCAAAACCAAGTCTAATCTTCACCAAAACCCCTAAAAATTGAGATATAAACTCCAAACCATATTCCCGATTATTTTCAACAACACCCAATCCAAACAAATAATGATTTTTGAAAACCCAAATTTGAATTCAAAGCTTTCAAGCATTTTAATGGCTATCAATGGTGGAAAATATATGGAAGAACAGATGAAGATGAAGATGAAGAACAGAAATCTCCTTTCCGTTTCAAAATTACGCAGCTTCGAGATCTCGTTTCCGTTTCAAAATTTGAATTTAATGTATCCCAGATTCTCTTCCTGATTTTTCGCGCGCTAATAATGGAAGATACAGCCATAATAAACGAATGGTATATAAATTGTAGGAAAACTGTGGACTGGGCGGGTAATATACATACTATGCACATATTTGGTAATAAGGTTTCATATATGGTATAGTTAGGAAAAAATCCCAAAAAAAAAAAAGAAGTAGCTGTTTGGCTATTTTAAAAAACGGTCGTTGGGCTATAAAAAATAGCCGTTGGCTATTTAGAAAATAGCCATTTAACCTCAACTTTGTTTTAAACCCAAACTTTTTGTAATTACACTTTTTCCATATTTTCAACTATAAATACCCCCTCATTCTTCATTTTTCTTACAAAATCAATATCAATCCATCACAATCTCTCTCTAATTTTCTTCTATACTTGCTATTTCTTACTTTATTCCAAAATATAGTAAAAAAATATTGAGGTTGTTACAATTTGTGAAAAAATTGTGAAGTTGTTGAATTGAAGTCTTCAACGATAATTAATTTTCAACAAGTTGTTCTTCGGTAAACTCGTTCCAACTCTTAAGTCTTAGTATTATAGTTTTGCATGTTTTATTTATTTGCTATTACTTGATTAATTAAGATGGCTTCCTTAAAAAATATTTTTAGTAAAAATAAGAATAAGGGAATATCTAAGAGTGGCGAATCTAGTGGTCATGTTGTTTCTCCTCCCCTGCCCGCGCCCCCCCGAACCAAACCTCATATCCGTCCTGCACCTGCTATTCTTGATAGCGATAGTAGTTTATTACAATTTACCGAGAGTCAGCTTTGCCATAATATTGCAGCCGGTGAACAGTTAGACCGTGAATTAATGAATGCTCTTTATTCTAATAAGTATAATACTATTGATAAAAATGATGAGGAGGAAATTGATCTTGATGAAACTCAACCGGATGATGATACACCTATTAGTCCTGCTCCTGATGTTAACCCAACTAGTGATAACCCTACTAATCCAAATGATGACCCATCTGATACTCCTGTTACTGCCCCTACTTTTTCTAGACAACCTACCAAACGGACGAAAACATCTCCTGTTTGGCCATTTTTTACTCAACTAGTTCCAGAAAATAAGGTTAAGTGTAAAACTTGTGGTATGGAGTTAGCTTTTAAATATTTTGGATCGTGAGGGGGTGGGGAACTTTGGCCAGACACATAAAAAGACACCCTCAAGATAGAGTCAGATATCTTCGTCTGAGAGCTTTGGCCGAGGGGAAAAGTGTACCTAGTCCTAGTCAGACTGACCCTAGTACCGGTTCAAATCAATTTCAACCGGAAATTAACAGTGGAAGCTACTTTTCCGCCACCACCAACGGAAATTCCTCCGGACCTTGAAGGATTTATGAAGTTTGTAAGAGATACCATGTAACTTGTATGAACAAAAACTAGTATGTATTATGTAACTTGTATTTTGGCACATCTTGATTAGTTTCTTTTTCTTCTCAATGGTGGTATTAGCACCTTGTTGTGCTCCTTCCAAATGGGGGAGGAAGACTAAGAAAGATATTGCCATATTTTTTAATGCTATAATAAAATTAGAAGGCATTGTTTTGAATATCTCTTTACAATATTTTTGACTTTAAATTTGAATTAAAAAATTTAGGTCACAATTCTATAATAAATTTACAAGGCATTGCCTTAGATATTTTTTTAACATCTTTTTTTCTCTAATTTCTATTTAATTTTAAAAATAATATTTAGCCGTTGGGCCCACTTAGCCCACTTAGCCCACTTAGTCCGCAAGCCTGACCCGTTTAGCTGGGGACCATGAGTTCGTGAGCCCGGTCCCGGGCCGGTTCCTACAAAAAAACCGTTTAGCCTGAGACCGGTAGGCCCGTTTAATTAAGGACCGGCCCGGGACCGGGAACGTTTGGACCGGACCGGCCCACATATGCCGCCCCTGCTATAGGTACACATACATACGTAAGTTCTATCTCAATTTAAGTTACCTAAGTTAGACTTAAATGGTCAGCAGATCAAACTGTGAAATGAAATTTGACAAATCTTCTTAAGATCTAGAAAATAAGAATAAGCGCTATAAAGATAGATCATTATCTACAAAATTAATTAGTCCATTAGCTGACACATGAAATCTATATTTGTTCATAAAATGAATTTTATTTGCATTGTTCTCATATAGCAACAATTAGCAATAGAGTCATACTTTTCGCCGCATAGATTAGAAAAACCAAGCGCTTTCTACACAAAATGTGAATTAATCAGGCACTACCTAATAAGTTTGGAACAGGATTTGCTCAATAACGCTCAATAGCCTTTTCTTTTGCAGTGTATTAACTCATATACTGCAATACTTATATGAACAATCCATTTAGAAATACTATGCTTTTATTACAAATCTGAGAAACGGGTAGCTAACTCAAAATATGCGTATAAAACTAGAATCCAGGACCCCCTTAAATTTATCCATTTCATCAGAAAATCAATCTTAATTCCTAACTTGGCATCTCAGAATAACTTGGTCTTTTTATGAGCTGGACCATTTTTTTGGGGGCAATTAACAAGACACTGCAAATAATTAAAAGAGAGTATGAAAATGTGGACGGACCAAAATTTCTCATACCAAACACTGATTAAGATGCGAGATTAAAGCAATTAACAGAAAGTAACAACTATAATCAAGGAAATTAACTGAATCAAATCTATGCTTTCCTTATTTCATACTCTGTTTTTCTGATTCCAAAATGTGCATTTTACTAGTACAAAAGATGAACAAAAAAGCAACAGAGTAAAGAATGATTATACTAGTACGTACGTAAATGGAAAACATCAAAGCATTTGCGACCAACGATTACCCAAAACTAATACTCCTAATTAGACTAAATCCATAAAGCTAATGAAAGATTCATGATATGAGATTTGCAATTATATCAGAAATAACCTTTTCCATATCCAGTAATCCCCTCAAGAATTGCGAGTCGAACTCCTTGTCACTCTGGTAGAAGAAGGCTCCACATTTGCCCTAATTGTAACCGATGAATTGCCCCCAGAAGTTGTGGTTTTAGCCTTGTTTGACTTAGGTGGTAGTGGGTGAGCAGCAGTCGAATCAGAACCCAATTTGGCTTTGCCTTTAGAACGGCGAGTCGAGATCGTAGAGGACGTGGTGCTACCGTCAAAGATGGCTGTTTTGGCTTTCTTGGACTTGGGTGGTTCTTCTTCTTTGGCTTTGCCTTTAGTCTGCACATTTGCCCTTTTCTTGGACTTACCCTCAGAGTCAGAGATGTTTAGTTTCGTTTTCTTGGACTTGGGTGGCGATTGAATCTCAGCAGAAATCAAGTTAGACTCCATTTTTGCTTTGCCTTTGGCAATGCGAGCCGAGCTACGAGTAGTCACAGTGGTTGAAGACTCCATTTCTGCTTTGCCTTTGGCGCTGCGAGTGAGAATGGAGGAGGCCATTTTCTTGGGCGCCGGAGAGAACAAGGCCCTGTTTTCAGAGATGGTTAATTTCGCTAATGTCATAGACAGGTCGGAATCATGAGAAGGCAATTCAGACTCCAATTTGGCTTTGCCTTTGTCACGGCTAGTCAGATTAGCAGATGGCTTAGCATTTTCCCTTTTCTTGGACTTGCGTTGTTGAGTCTCAGCACGAGGCGAGTTGAGTTTGGCTTTTCCGCGGCGAGTGGAGATTCTGGCAACAATGGCGGATGCAGAGGATTCTGTATTAGCAGCTTTCTTCGACGCCATTGAAGAAGAGGCGCCGCTGTTACCAGAGGTGTTTGTTTTGGCTTTCTTGGAGTTGGGTGGTTGAGGATCAGAGACCAATTTGGCGGAGGACTCCATTTTTGCCCTTTTCTTGGGGGCCATGGAGAAGAAGAAGAGTCTTTTCTTCTTTTTTCTTTCTTTGCTGTATTTTGACGGTTACAGAATTTGTTAAAAAGCTGACTTGAATTAATTGTATATGACTGACTGCTCACCATTATATAGACGGTTTGATATCTCTCGCTTTTAGGCGGCCAATTCAAATGTCACATTTTAGTTTTTCCTTCTAAAGAAACGGATATTTTGCCTTAGAGAACAAAAAATAAATAATTATAAAGGAAGCCAATACTATTTTTTAAATATTTGTGTGCCTTGGGAAATCAAAGAGTTTTCATTATATTTATGGCGACTGTAAATTGTCCAAACAAAGTACATCCAAAATGACGTTATTATGGACACTTCACACATTTTTTATTTTTTATTTTTTAATACCCATTATGCCCTTCATAAAAATACGTACATTTTTTATTTTGAATTCTGTTTTTTCTCATCAATTTAATTACTTTATGTTTTATGTCGCCAATGCACAAAAGAAATGTAAACTAGTAATGGAGGAAGAAAGACGTAAATTTGGTGCATGAAAATATAAGTATTATGGCTCATATATTAATTGATTAAAACTTCTTCTTTTTCATTATGCTAGTCTTTGGGTACGCGCAATAAGTATAAATTTTTCAAAAAGTTCATAAATATTATATGAAAATTTGTATCTAAGTTATAAAATAAAAGTTAAAAAGAAGTGTGAGTTCCTGAAATGATTATTTATTAATTTTATTTAATTACTCAATAAAAGAAAAAATTATGTCCCAAAAAAATTCTCAATCATCCTATTCAACTAACGGAAAACGTCCTTATTTTTTCTCATGAGCAAAATATGTAGATTCTTTTATTTAATCAATAAGAAATACATAAGAATTGTTTCCAACGTATTAGAAATCACTTTACAAAAGTAGAATTCAGTTATTACATTTTGATTGTAATAGAATTACTTATAGTTGATGGACTTTAAAAGAACGGCGTCACTAATATCCTAGAAGGAGTGAAAATATAAAATTCGCGTTAAAATCAAAATTAAATTTATTCTTTCAACTGCAACTCTCACGTATGTAATGTATTAGTTTTCTCCTGTGTCTATAATCAATTTTCATTTTAATTGAAACTTTGTAAAAGTAAGTCAGTTTGATACAAAAAAGAAAATATTGTAATTATTTACATTTCTAAAAATAATTTTTTGTAATTATGTTACACTCTTAATTAATTTTAAAATCTTAAATATTAGAAATTCTGACAGAGTCAGTAAGAAAATGATTTGATAAGAAAATATTTATTTTCAAGGTTCTAAATATTAAGAAAACAATTAAATAATTTTTTTTATATAATGTGATATCTACTTTTAAAGAATAATTTTTTTTAATTAAAGTTTTATGTTGAGTTTGTGAATTTATAATATAGAACAAACAAATTACATTTACCTTTCACATATATATTCCCTTCAAAAGTCGAATATCTTCTATGCTAGTTTCGTTAAATTTTAATTACTTTGTGACTAAATCGCATTGACATATAACTAATATCTTCCATGCTAATTTCATTGAAAAGGGGTTGTATATTTCTTATTACAAAATTAATAAACATCATCACTTAATTAGAAAAATATAGGACAATGAACAAACATAATTTCTCCAAATTTCGAAAAGGAAAAAAGTAAGAAGTCGGACCTTCATATTCACAAACAATCAACTACTCTTTTTCTTTTTTCTCATAAGGTGTAGATCTTATATGTTGCTCTATGAAAACTATATTGCTTCGACATCCAATAAGTAAGGGATTACAAAACTTTACAATAGAATACACAAAAATTAAAACCTGAACATGCAAATCTTTGTCCAATATTGATCATAACAATAATACATTTATGTTAATCCTTCCAAAGAATCAACTCCAATTAAAGAGGAAAAGTAAATGAAAACTAATTAAAACACAAACCTACTGAAGAAGCAAATTGAAAACCAACCCCATGAAACAAAAACAAAAAGAAATAGTTTAGCCATAGAAATACTTGAACAATTTCGTTAATAAAGACAGGTGACGAAGGTTAACTTACCGCATGGAAATTCTTTTTATAGATGTGCTTTTGTGACTCAAGTGTAATTCTTACTATTTTTTGCATGTTTATATATGGAATAGGAGATTGAAACATAAATGCATATGACAGCATGTAAATTCATATGCTTATTGTTCATAATTGTATTAAATTGTTTAACTAATAAAATTATTCCGAATCTAGTCTAGTCTAAAATAACTCTTTTAAGTATGTTTTTCAATTTTGCCATGTTTGGTTGGCTTAAATGTTTTGAAAAATATTTTTCTTATGAACTTATTTTCCTCCAATTGGAGGAAAATATTTTCCTTATCAAGAGAAGGGAAAACATTTTCCAAAACTCCTTCTCAACCTTCCCCACACCCCCACACCCTCCCACCCAACTCCACCTCCTCTCTCCGAAAAGGTTATTTTTTTTTTAAATTTAAGTTTTTTTTTCCGCCACCACCCACCCTGCTATCCCACCCCCCTACCCCCCCCCCCCCCCCAAAAAAAAAAAAATTTCTTTACTCTTTTTTTTTTTTTTGTAATTTTCCTAAATTTTTCGTTTTTTTTCCGACTTTTTTCGCCTAACCCCTACCCCCCCTTACCCCCCCCCCACCCCGTACTACCAAGTTTTTTTTTTACTCTTTGTTCCGTAATTTCAAATTTTTGTTTTTTATTTTTTTTGCAGACCCCCTGCCCCTCCCCCCTCCCCCCGGAAAAGAAATATTTTTTTTATATATTTTCAGTTTTAGTTTTTCCATCTTTCGGTTTACAGGTTCGAAATTTTACAAGTTCCAAAGTTATGAGTTCAGAGGTTTATGTGTTTGGATGTTTACGGGTTTAGAAATTATAAAGTTTACGGGTTCGAAAGTTCGCGGTTTTGAAAGTCTAGCGGTTCGAAAATTTATGAAATTTGTGGATTCTGAAGGTTGTTGGTTTAATTTGAAAGTTTATGATTTCATGTTTATTGTATCAAAATTATTTATGAATACTCTTGAGAAGTTATTTTTCTTAATTTGCGTGCCAAACGTCGGAAAATGGATAAGATTACTACTTATTTTCCAAGAAAATATTTTCTTGGAAAATATTTTTCACGGAAAACTTTTTCCGTGATACCATACACAACCTATATATAATGTAATTATAACTCCTCTATTCTTCTTGTTCACTTCTTTTTTTGTTTATCTTGGTATCCTACAGCGATTAATATACACAAGAGCATAAACGCAACAAGAACATTTTAAATAATTGAAATATATTTATATTTAGTATCGAACACACACACACGCAGGTGAATATATACAGATATAGAGAGATGCTAACTTATGACTTTCATGCAGAGACATACTTAGCCATCTCATTAAAAGGAAGCGATGGTGATAATCGTTGCTCATAAAATTTTTGCTTCACGCCCTATTTTATCGTCCCCATTTTAATATGTACTCATTGTTGAAATCTAATTTTTTCCTACAATATTTTCAAAACTATGCATTGGCGTCAATTGGTATTTTTCATATAATTTCTGCATTTTTAAAAGATCTTAATTAATTTATCCCAGTGTTTTATTTATAAAACAATCACTGATTGCCTCACAAATAGTTTTATAATAATTTTGTGGCTTAATTTTATCATTTGTATTTGTACTAAGTTTCAATTATTGCACAAATAGCCACATTTGTATTTTTAGGTTACAATTGCAATTACTTTGCAATTATAGCCTATGCATGCATTATTACATTATTATACCAGAAAGTAGCCTTTTATATTTTTAAAATATTAAGTAATTATTTTAAAATATTTATAGGCAGAAAATCATTTTTTATAATTTATTAACTATTTTTAAAAAATTATTTTAGCAATTAAATGGGTATTTAACAAATGACCCCTTTTAAATCGGACGCCCAATTCAATTCAATTAAACCAAGCCCAATTTAAACCATACCCATGACCCAGTCCTTGACCCAACCCATCCAAAGGATAAATCCTGGCCGTTGATCTAGGAAGATCAACGGTCCAGGATTGACCTTCCATTTTTAATTCAACCAAACCCCCCTAACCCGATTCATTTGTCACGCCCGCCACCCTTGAATCCCTCGTCTCCCTCTTCTCTCAAAGACTCGCCCAAACCCTAACACCGTCACCTAAAATCTATCCCAAATCCCTTCGATTCCTACCTATTCACGAGACTACATGGTGGTTCGAGGCCTCTACCGGCCTCTCGCCTCTCCTGGTTCTTCGACCCTGTTGTTGCATTAAGGGATCTTGAAAAGATCCAACTCAGATTTGGTTCAAAGACCGTTCAAAGGTCTACCTATGGCTATTATCGTTTGTGAGTGCTATTTTCTTCCTATTTTCAGTTCGAATCTATGACTTTGGACTAAGTCTTCTTCACCTCTGTTATTTTCAAAATCCTAATCTCATGACTAATTGGGTCTGTTCAGATCTTTGTAGATCTGAAACGTTCTGAACATTATTTGGTATTTTCTTCGAAAAAACCTTCTATTTTCCTTATTATTATTCAATTTCAGTGACTTCTCAGAACTAGGGTTCGTCCTAAGTTCTCTTCAAACGATTTTTCTTAATTTTCAAGTGTTAAACCTGCTTATTCCTTTACTGGTTGGGCCAATTTTCGTGTATATGCTTAAACCCCAGGTACTTCTGTTTATGGCACTGATTTTTCTTCCGTTATGTGTTTATTTCTGTCAATTAATTATTTTGGCTGATTTTATTAGGGATTCGAATCATATTTTCCCGTTCAAATCAATACTCCTTTGTGATTTGCCTGTTTGCCTTATTTGTGACTTTAATTAGTACCATTTTTCTTAATTAAACTATTATTCTGATTCAGAAGTTTTATATGGTATGATTGATTCTCTTACCTTATTTGAGCCCTAATTTGTACCGTTGATTGGCTCTCCCTATTCTAAAGGGTCTT